GTTTTTTGGCATCTCTTTTGTTATAATTTTCTTTATTTTTTGAGTAACGCTAGGATGGTGGTTGTGGCATTTGGGAGTGGATTGACAAGCCAATGTGTAGTGTTGGACGTCAATTGTTTTTACTTCTAAGAGAGGAGATCAATGGTTTAAGGAATACATTGCTTTTGAAGGAGGAGTTACTTCAAATGTGTGAAAATGAGCTAAGAGGATGCAATGATCACATTTACAAGCTTAAAGAAGACGTTGAATTTTCTCAAATTGAGGCTGCTACTTGTTTGGAAGAAGTGGAGAAATTGATGAGTGAAATTAGAATTGCACGTAAAGCTTGCAGAAGAAAAAAGGAAAATTAAGTTTATTTTGTTATTAGGAATGTTTACACTCTGTTTAATTTTGTATGTTATAACGTGAAGATGGTTGTAACGTGAAAGTGGTTGTAATATGATTAAAGCACTGTATTTTGTGAGTTGAGTTGATTATGAAGTTGATGTAATCTGAAGTTTTAATGCAATTTATAAATTTAAGTTGTTGTTATATTCTGTATTTTGGCAAATTTATGTTGCTTATGATAAAAGGCAAAATTGTGCATGAATACAGGTACTTTTTGTGTTGATATATACAATTGTTAACTTGACAGATTGGTATATTTGTTCGTAATGTGTTACCAAGTTGACATATTTGCCTATAATTCTTATGCCAAATTGGTATATTTTATTGACTTCAATAACCAAATGAGTATATTTTCTTTGGCAAAAATACTTGTACCTGTTTGACCCAAAATGCACATGAGCTGGTTGATTCAAACAATAAAGATAGCAGCATTAAGTAGACATATAAACTTCATCCTGCCAATATAATAGATATATGAAATTAAGTTCTTGCAACCATGTTACAAGCCCAGAGACAACCAAACTATCACCACTTTGTCCCAACGGTAGAATTTACATAAACTGATCGGTAACACAGTACACAACTAAACCATTTTACATGCCCAGAGACAACAAAATACTCATTTTTCCAGATATAAAGAAACTAATCAAAATGCTAAAAAAACGTTAATTACATGTCTAAAATCTGAGAGGGTGCACTCTGTGAGGATGGTGCATTATCTGTCAACTGTATCACATTTACTTGACTTTCACCAGGACCTCTAAATGCCATTTCCCCTTTGTAGGCTGTCTAAAAATCACAATAGATAGCTGATCCCTATCAAAACACCAATGATGGAAGTTACAATCTGACGACTTTCAGAAGGTTACAATTTGAAGACTTTTACGTAGGTTGATGAATGTTACAATCTGACGACCTTCACAACAACTGATGAAAGCTCTAATCAACGGCCTTCACAATCAACATCGAGAGTTACAATCTGACGACTCTCATATTCTCAAGGAGCCAAGATGAAGATTACAAGACAATGATCTTTGCAACGCTATGACAAAAGAGATTACTTGTTGATAATCTCTTTGAAGCAAGACGCAAAGACAATGATCTTTGCAACGCTATGACAAAAGAGATTACTTGTTGATAATCTCTTTGAAGCAAGACGCAGAACTCATCACCGCGCTCTAAGACCAAAACGCAAAGGTCATCCCTGCGCATCAACACCAAAACGCGGAGGTCCTCCCCGTGTGTCAACATTAAAACGCTAGAGTCGAACCTGCGTTGCAACATCAAAATGCTAGGGTCAGACCCGCGTTTTTGTGTTTGACTAGTTCAAACAGAACCTGAACGGTTTTAAAACCGTATCTCCACTTAATGGGGACGGTTACACCCCATTATGGAGCCATTTTAGGGGGAATTACACCCCTTAAACCCGTGAACAGTTCCAAAACTATTTTCCATGATTGGAGGACGGTTACACCCCACTTAGGAGTGATTTAAGGGGTAGTTACACCCCTTAAATCCTTTATAAATAACTGAAAATCAATTCAGTTTAGGGGTTGGAGCAGAGGGGATTTGGCTCTCGGTTGGGTTCGAGCAGAAGAGATCCTTGGGCAGGCTTTAGAGGAGATCGGCTGGAGAGAGATACTTGGCAACAAGAAGATCTTGAAGCATCCTTGAGCAACAGCTTTCATCCTTGGCTTATCAACCGAACTTTCAGTTCAAATCATCTCTTTTACAGAGTTCTTCTAAACTCGTTCAGAGTTCTAAAACTTGCCACGCAAGTTCTTCACAACGTCAAATCGTGAGGAGAGGATATCGTTTCAGTGAAGCAAAACGTCTGATCGTCAACGGAGAGCAAACTCGACGTGAGCATTCGAGGGAGGCACTCCATCGCCACCGTAAAGAACTCAGTTTTAAACAAAGGGGGGAGAATCAAATTCATTCTCCTCTCTTTTGTAATCAGGAAATCCAAATTGTAATCGACTTTGAGATAATACAAATCAATTTTTTCTTTCATTTCTTTTACATCGAATTTTTCCACAAACACCCTTGTTCTCCTTGCCACAAACCAAACCCTTCTGGCATCCTTAGTTGACCTGCACTCCCTCTCTGTTAGGTCTTATGTTTATGAGCTTATTGTCTAATCTGGTTTTGATGATTAACAAATAATTTCTAACATCGCTTTTCGAGTATTTGCATTTGCTTGTTAGGTATCCTACACAAACATCCTCAGTCAAAGGTTGGTTGGATTTGCACCTTAACAAAGATATTTTGGAGGTTAGTGGATAATCGGAATGAAGCTTTGCGCATTCAAGTCAAAACTTACTATCATGCTTCATCCCGCTATCAAGATCGAGCTTCATGAAGATCATTAGCTTGGTACAGTGTTTATTAGTCTTAGGTGTTTATACTTTATGTGTTTATGCTTTAAGCTCAAATCATACACGTACATGTTTTCTCGATTTATCGTATCATACATCCATTTGGGAATACATTGTGTTTTTGGATTATAGACTAAATGATTTTGTTTTACATCTTTTCTAAAGTCTATCAATCCATTAAAAAGAATCTCTGAACTTGTTTGAAAGAATTTCATCAAAATCAAGTTTTTTAACAAGTTCGTATTTCTAACCGTTTTGCAAAATAGTGAGTTTTCACAAATGAAAAATGCTATTTTAAGAAATTTCTTCTTTAACATGTTTATTTCCATATATATATAAGCATTTCCCTAAGTTTTACTATTTTTGGAGTTGATTTGCTATTTTAATTTGAATTTAGAAAATCAACTCTTCAAGAAAAACAAAGTATCTGAAATATCATGTTATCAGTCGACCGATTTAAGAAACCGGTCGACTGACCAGAGCAATGTTTATAGTCATTCTTTTACAGTCTAACCAGTCGACCGATAAAATTGATCAGTCAACCGATCAATGGCCATCTTACTATAACGGCTAGTTTTAGTTTCTTGTTGTTTGAGAGGCTATAAATAGTCCTCAAGCTTCATTTGATGAACTAAGTTTGTTTGGCCAGTTTTTGGTCTGGTTTTTCAAGAGTTTAAGTGTGTTTTGGTTTATGAACAAAAAGAGTTTTACAAAGAGAAGGATTTTAATTTTGGTTTTGAGGCGTTCAACCTCAACTCTCCATAGATGAGGCAACAGGTGCTAGGAAGGACTCAACGAGAGATGGAGACACAATCGGGAGATGACGAGCACAAGCTGGGTGTCCACTGCCAGTGGACGCAGTTTGTTGGGGAGAGGAGTTAGGTGAAGCAGCGTGAAACGGAAAGACGGTAGGCACAAACTTAACATGACGGGAGATGTATATGCATTGAGTAATAGGGTCCAGACATTTATAGGCGGACTGAGTGACAGAGTAGCCTAGGAAGACACAAGATATTGACCGAGGTTGTAGTTTGTGACTAGTGTAAGGCCGTAACCAGGGAAAACATACACACCCAAACGGCTGAAGTTTTTGGTAATTGGGTTCCTTTTGATACAGAACTGAGTATGGAGAGGAATTACGGAGTAAGGGTGAAGGCATGCGATTGATAAGATAGACATCAGTTTGAAAGGCGTGAGGCCAGTGGAGAAGGGGAAGAGAAGCACAATGCAGCAGGGAGAGCCCAGTTTAAACAACACGTCGATGGAGACATTCAGCCGTGCCATTGTGTTCCGGAGTGTGAGGAGGGGGATGTGAAGTGAGATATGCCTTCCACGTTAAGGGTAGGAAGAAGCTTAATAAATTCACCGCCGTTATCAGAAAAGAACAAAATAATTTGGTGATTAAAGATTACGTAAAATGGTCAACAAAGATTATGTAATAGGCATAACCATCATAGGATATTTGTTTAGTACTCCACACATCAGTATATAATAGCTCAAGAGGACGAGAACTGACAAGTATATTTTGAGCAGAAGGTAACTTGCGACTTTTATTGATATGACAGGAAGTACAATAAAAATCACGAACAGAGCGCTGATGATGACCTGATCTTGACGATACCAGATCGTATAGCATGGATTCACGACTTTCGTATTCACATTGGTGAAGGGAGATGAAGTTTCAAGCATTCCATCAACGTATCCCAAGAGTCCAAAGCCGATGAGGGCAGCCTCAACCTGACGACGCCAAACTGGGAAATTGGCGGAGGTGAGTTTGATAGGGAAATTGGTTGGCGCGTTGATTTGAATGATGTTAGTGGTGGTGGTGATGGCCATGGCTTGGATCTCGTAGAGAAATCTACCGAAGTCTCTGATACCATGTAAAGGGAGTGATTCAATAATATTTTCATTGAGGCATATTAACCGAGAATATATACACAAATGCCGTTGAAGGCAAGCTACAATCTAGGAGTACAATAAGGAAGTTACAGGACTTCTAAGGAAAGTAAATATGTACATAATCACGGAAAAGAATATTAAATAAGAATAAGAAAGGAAACTAATATTTATCCTTAATATTGAAGTCCATCCCTTTGCATTAATATTTGAATGAGGCCAACACCGCTCCACGTGCACCCAAATGATCAATTTGATGTAAGCCCACTTTTTGTGCCATGGCAATCGGGTCAACCTCAAGATCCGAACCTCTCGCGCTATAAAAACACAAGCCTCTTCGGCTCTTTCTCATTGTAAGTTTTTGAGTTCTTGTAGGGGGAGGGAGAGAGACATCTAAAGAAAGAGATCATGGCTGGTTTGATTGATAAGGCCAAGGAGTTCATCGCCGACAAGATCGCTGACATGCCGAAGCCGGAGGCAACCATGACCGATGTGTCGATAAAGAAGTTTACTAGGGAGGCAGCCACCTTCGACGGCGAGGTCTCCGTTAACAATCCTTACAGTAAAAGGCTCCCCATCTGCGAGATCTCTTATACGCTGAAGAGTGATGGGCAGTATGAACCCTTTTTCATTTCTAAGATTCACAACTATTTCAATTTTGCATGTGCCGCATTTATTTGATTTGATTTGATTGTGATATATCAACCAAACGATCTTTAGATGATTACTAAAGATTCTCATGAACTTTATCTAAGTAGGTTTAAAAAAATAATTCGCCATCTTGTAACGCATGCATAACTAAATATAGTTGACGGTGAGGTAATGTTCAAACGAAAAGATAGATTATACAAAATCTATTACATGAAAGATGTGATTGTTACACGAACAAACATAACTAAATAGTTTACGGTGAGGTAATGTTTAAACAAGAAGATAGATTTTTTTACATGATAGATTTTTTTACATGATCTATTTTATGAAATATGTGATCGTTACACGAACAAACAAAAGTATATATAATTAGTTGTTTCTTTTCTTTTTTGGAAAGCCAATGATATTTTGTAAAATCTGACCGATATTAGTGGTAATTTATTAACATTTCAATACCTCAAATTCTTCAAGTATTCCTACAAATCTGAATGTGAGATGATGTCATATTGGTAATAAGTGTTTTGTTGTTCTAAGATTTAAAATGATTAAATTTCAAAAAATCATCATGAACTCTAAGTAGTTTACAAATCTGATAACAGTTTTTGAAAACAAGATTTTTTTTGGGGGGGTGAGGGGGTAGGAAATTCATGATAATTTCTCAAAATTCAAGATGAAAGAGCAATTTGATCATTATATTAGGGTCTCATACTCAAATTCGTCCTCCCACTTTATTTTTTCCGAACTTAGTTCCTGAATCGTTTTGTTAGATGAAAACTTAATCCTATTTTAACTTTTTTGTTAAAGAACTCCATTAATTAAAACATGAGAGGATAATTTTACCTCATCCATTAATCATCTTAAAAAATTGCACGCTTACATACCAATTACCAGACAAAATATTTGGGATTGTACATGAGCACACACATCATGACAAGTATATGATGCGCAGATCAAATAATACTTTTTAATGCTGACCGGTTATCAGTTTTGCATGATCAGATGAGTCTGTACTGTTTCTTGAACCGTGTTACAGCAGCAATATAGCTGAGATATAATTAGTTAGAAGCCTTCTTGCTTCTTTAATTTGTATCACAGAGAATAGAAGTTGGATGGAAGTTAGAGGTACAACCAAATTTTTTGTCTGCTAATTACTATGTAAATGTGCAATTTTTGGAAATGGTAGGGTACGTATGGTGTCCTTTCAACTTTTTAATTAATGGAGTTTCTAACAAAAAGTTAAAGCAGGACGAAGTTTTCATCTAATAAGCGACACAAGGACTAAGTTGAGAAAAACAAAAATGAGAGAACCAATTTGAGTATGAGACCCTAGTACGAGGACTAAATTGGTCTTTTAGGTTTTTTTTTTTTGAGAAACTAGGAAGTAAAATACTGATTTGATTGTCATATATCGCTGATGCTTAGGGTGATACCACCGAGGGGTAATGTTTGATCTTGGATGGGTATCAATGATTTTCAAACTTATTTGTAATTTGTTTGGGCTTAATTGCAGATATACACCTTGCACTATAAGCGTGTGATTGAGATCCTTTCCCATTACATGGTAATTGAAGAGGGTCCAGTTCTCTCAATCTTTACCACCCGTCTCAATTCTAATGGATGAGATCACACCACGTAAGACTTCCACTATCACAAATATTAGTTTTGATTATAGTGAATTTCAGGTTCACTAGTGGTTTTCAATATGCATGATAGCGGTTTTCAAGATAGCAACGGAAAACTTACGTGGTGTGATCTCATCCATTGAACGTGATATAGATGGTAAGGATTGAGAGAATTGGACCCACCTAATTGGAGAGAATTCGAATCAACAACTTGTGTCCAAACTATCATGTAAGCAGTTGCATGGCCGAACGACCCGTGGTATTCTTTTCTCTCTCCTTAATTTGGAGAACAATTTAATCTTCTTTCCAGTAGTCAAGCTACTCATATCAATTCATCATGCGGCTTACATGAGCAAACTTGGAAAAATATCAAAGAGCTCTTTACAGTTTCTTGAAATCTAGTTGTTCAAAAATCATTCCAGCCTCACAAATACCAATTTGATCGCGACATGTCGATGACAATGTTTAGGGTGATCGCGTCGGGCACGATTGCCGACCCAGGATGGATCGAGGCTAGCGGCGTAACGAAGCTGGAGGTTCCGATCAATGTGCCGTACAACTTCTTGGTGAGCTTGATGAAGGACATCGGGAGGGATTGGGACATTGACTATGAGCTAGAGGTTGGACTCACCATTGATCTCCCTGCAATCGGAAATTTTACAATCCCTGTCTCTAGTAAGGGAGAGATGAAGCTCCCTACTCTATCCGACTACTTCTGAAGTCATGTGGGTGTATTAATAACGGTGGAATTTTACTTAGTCATGTTATGCTATTTTTCTCTCATCTCTCTTTCTGTTTTCCATTATTATTTTTTTATGAGAACTAGTATGCACTTGAGCATGCTAAGAAACCATACGGGTTGAAACATTTGAAAGCCAAGTGTTATTCAGCATACGATCTCGTGACTATTTATGAAAAACACATTCTTCACATAGAATAGAAGCTTACTGCACAATAATTTTAATTTCTAGAAGCAATTCACTAAATAAGTTCTCAAATGCATAATGTGAACACGTGGGGTACATGGGGACAACCTGGCATCTCTGTGAATGGGTAAAAGCCGTGTGAGGAGATATCAGCCCGTGTTGATTTGCCCAAGAGGGCATGGCCCTTCGGGGCGGTGATGGGGTGAGGTGGAGACTTTTCCACATGGAGAACAATTGCAGAACTACGGTTAGCTTGATCCCGGTGAAGGGTACGTAGGCAGTCGCAGTATGGTGGCGCAGCTGGTTTTGGTCTGGTGATGTTCGCGGTGTTCTTCTGGTGTTCGTCCAAAATTTGAGGTTTATCAAATGTTGTACGAGGTGGAGAATTGTGAACACGTGGGGTACATGGGGACAACCTGGCATCTCTGTGAATGGGTAAAAGCCGTGTGAGGAGATAAGGAGCTATGTGCTTTATTCAGCGGGTAAAAGCTGAGCTTATCTTTTCACGAGAAAAGAGATAACATCCAGCGGGTAAATGCCAAGGCCCAAGTTTCATTTTAATAACCGCATCATCTCCTATAAATACCTATGATCATCTAGGTTTCATGTGTGGGAAATTTCTTTTAGCCGGCTGCAGTCAAGCAACGGGAACAGCGACTATTGGAAGAAAATTGCGGCTAAAGGACTGGGTGCTTTTTTCGGCAGCAAGGGAAAAAGCAACAGGAGCAAGCAGCAGGCAGAGGCTTTCGTTTGCGGCTGCGTGTGAGCAGTTGAGGAGAGAGAAAATAGGGTTTTACAAAAGAGAGGTTTATTTCTTTTTGGGTAAAAATCGGATCTATTTTTCCTTTGAGACGAGCTTGTGGATTGTACAAGTCGTCGGTGTTCTCCTTATAGTGGAATCTCCCCTCACCCCTCCCGTGGACGTAGGCAATCTTGCCGAACCACGTAAATCTCGTGTATTTACTGTTTTCTGGGTTGTTGGCTATTAGGATCCCTCAAAATCCGGTCTTGCGCTGATGAGAGGAAGAGTGGATATCTCACTTCGCTGAGATATTTCGCTACTGAGTCTAGGTTTCCTTCGCGAAACACAGATATCGAGTTTGACTTGTACTTTGTGCAAACAAAAGTCAGGGCTCTCTCTCAGGACATATCGCTTCCGCGGCGGTGGGCGTGACTCTGCGCCCAACACATAAGTTGCTGGGATTGTGTCTTGGATTCTTTGTATAACTTCATGAGAATTAGATAGGGTTAGAGATCTCATCATGATTAGGAGTTTGAATCATATTCTAATTAGGAAGTTAGGCTAGGGATATAGTTTTGGTTTCCCTATATATTCTTTTATTATTGGAGGAAAAACCAAGGAGAAGGGAGAGAGAGCCAATATTCTTATAATCTAGGGTTAGCAGAGGGCGTAGCCTGATTCAATAGTATTGTGCGAGAGGCGAGTGTTTCGTGGTCTTTATCCGTGCAAAAGATTACATCATTGGGAGAGGGTTTCGCAGTATTTGTCCGTTAAAAAGATTGTAAGGAGAGGGCTTTGGAGAGAATATGAGAGTTGATTATGTATGTGAAGTTGAGAGATTGAGAGACAAGAGTTGAGTGGTTCCTCCTGTAGTTCTCCCTGATACATAGTGAATTTCTCGTATTGTTGCAGTAAGCTTGTTGCAATAAAGATTGAAAGTCCTCTTGTAGTCTTCGGCAAGAGGGTCGACTAGTACCGTCTTTCGAGTCGACATGAAGAAACGTCGACTCGACAAGTCGGCTAAGTTGGAACCCTTGTTGGTCTCGTATTGTTGCAATAAAGATTGAGAGTCCTCTTGTAGTCTTCGACAAGAGGGTCGACTAGTACCATCTTTTGAGTCGACATGAAGAAACGTCGGCTCGACGAGTCGACTAAGTTGGAACACTTGTTGGTCTCGGCCATCAATTTGATTGGTGCATTGCATGCAGAAGTACACATGTCCGTTGCTGGCAAAGAGTTGCACTTTGGTGATTGAGAACACCATAACATTAATTAATTAACTGATTAACTGATAGGATAGGATTGGATAGGAATTAAGAAAATTTAAAGGGGGCAAAATAGGTATTCAAAAGTTTTGACAATCATATTCTCTTTTATAAGTAGTATAGATATAGATATAGATGTGTTACCATCTCGGATTTAGATCTTTTATAAAAATAATAAAAAGAACAAAAAAAATGTAAGACTGCATCATTTATTTGATTAAGCATGGAAATTTGCACAAATGTATTACAAACCAAACTATAAAAAATTATTGTTTAATGATACATGTTAATTTAACTAGAAGACCTGAAAATTTATGTTCTCTGGTCCTAAATCATGTTCCAGTTTGCACAACAACAAGAAATGAACTGCAAACATATTACAGTACTAAAACACACTTAATTTATGAAGTTCAAATGTAACAATTCATAACCATCTAAAGTGCAATGTCAATCTGTTAAAAAGAAGTTCAAATATAACAATTCATGACCATCTATAGTGCAATATCAATTTGTAAAAAAGAAGCTACAAATTAACACATAAAATTAAAATAATTATCCATAGCCATCTTAAAGTGGACCATCAGTCTTTTCAAAAAAGAAGCTAAGAGAATTATTAAAAAGGTTAACTTCTGATGGGAAGTAATTTCATTTTGCCACACTGACTTGTCCGAACTTATCTATAGTCTTCATATGAAGGACAACCAGAATACAGTAAAAAGAACAAAGAAATATGCAACTATCAATAACTCTGTCACTTAAGAAAACCATAAGCAATATCTACCTAAGCTAAAAATAAAGACTCGGAAATGTACATCTTTTGTGCATGCAGCACTATAATATGTCCTTTTCCTCCACATTTGGAGCTTGTTCTCAGTTTTTTTTTTTTTTTTTTTTTGGATTAAGTCTTGAACTTTGACCCTTTTCAACTGAAGGTTTATATATTTGAACTCTTGCACTCTCCTTACAAGATGATTGAGTAGGATCTTTCACATAGTGTTCTTCTTGTTGCTTATTTGCATGAGTAGTTTGACCATTAACTCCGTTACGATGCTCGCACGTTGAAGCTTGATTTGCATCATTATCCCAAATAATAGATTCTTTATGCTTTATTACTTCAATTACCCCTTTCTTTATGGATTCGGATCCTCTTCACTACAAAAAAAATAGTGGAGGAACCACTACATAATCACAGCCATTGATTATCTAGTTGATGGTTATGATTTTTTCTTTTAGTGCAAATTAGGAATGAGTGCAATACACGGAGGTATGGTAAGTGTTAGATTTAGATTGTATCATAACCGCCTACTAAATAATCAACGCTTGAGATTAAAAGTAGTGGTCTCTCCACTACTTTTTTGTAGTGGAGAGGATCCAAATCCTTTCTTTATTACTTCCATGGCTATGGCATATGTCTCGGGATATGTGGAACCTTCTGTTACAAGTTTGAGCATGTTTTGACATAAATTATTAAATCAAAGCCTTTTTTATTCTCTATGATTAACACTCTTTTTGGATGAAGAATGCACCGCTCCTTCTTTCGCCAGTTTAGTCCAAGGCTTTAGAATAAAATATTGTGGTATGTGATTCATTTGAAGAAGGAGAAAGTGCTTAATAATATGAGCACACAACATACCAGCAAGCTCATACAATTTGCACTGACACGTAGCTGAAGTTTCTGTGACATTGGCTTTCACAATGTATGATGATCTCTGAGCATTTGGCTTTTGAGGATCCTCTACTTTCTTGGCCTTGTATGTTCCAGTTTCTACTTCTTCAATTTCATACGTAGTCATCCTTTGTAGTTTCTCCAAAAAAAAATTGTAAATTTTTCGAGCATACACTTTTGATCCTTGTTTTTCCATAGCATATCCTGACTATAATTTTGGTTTTATTCACAAACTTCTGAAGTCCTCTTCATCTTCTTTAGCATATCTACTCTCAGCTGTTGTTTCATATTGTTTAACAAATTGATATATAGATGTTTGACTATTCACATATCCTTTAAAGAGAGCTTTAATGCTCTCACTATGTTATATTGTGGACATTTATGCAAACAAAAAATCATGAAAGTAAGTACGGAGCCAATGATGAGATATAGCATATAGGTACTCAAGGTATTCATGATCTTTGTGCTTGTTTTTTCAATCATAGATGTCCATGATGCTTTGAATTCTTACTTGTTCCATTCACACACTCATCAAATACTTCTTGGAAATTCACTTTGGTTTTATAAACTTGGCACAATTTTTCTCTACCTTTTCTCATTATATGCCATTAACAAAGTCTATGCATACCATTGGGAAATACCTCTTCGATTGCCTTCTTCATACCATGATCTTGAACAGTTATAGTTACATGAGGATACTTTCAATACATTGCCTTTAAAAAAATGTGAAAAATCCAAGCAAAAGAAGGAGTCTTTTTATCTCTAATGAGTGCACAACCAAATAGTATTAATTGTCTATGATGATTCGTACCTACAAAAGGAGCAAACAGTATTCGATACTTATTTGTCATATAAGTTGTACCAAATGTGATTACATCTCCAAAACATTCATATGACATTCTAGCTCTTCCATCGGACCAAAATAAATGTTGTAGGTGTAGGCGTCAAAAATTGTCAGGCAAACAGTAGGGTGTTCTACTTTGATATCATAAAAGAATAGAGGATTTTCTTCTTGGTTATGTATCTTCTTTAATATTTGTTTGAATGGGCTACACCCAATTTTAAGTTTCGCGTTGATAATTGAATTGACACGAAACCAACGTGAGCCAATTTGAATATTCATGTTATTTGGATCGACATGAAAGAAAGTTTTACCTATAGAAGTATAGTGTTGCAAAAGTAAAAAAATACTTAAAAAAAGAGCATTATAATAGCAAGAGGAATAATTAAAGTCAATAAGCCTAGACGATTGATTAGAAGTGGCTAAA